AAAAGTGTATAAAGATTTCAACACATGGAGAGACAAACGGAGTCAAGGCTGTGTCCGAATCCGTCCTTTTGGTTTATTTCCATTACTTAGGATCTATTCGGAAGCCAAGCAGCCTATGGTGTATTTATTCAATATTCAGATCTTCAATCAGCATCAAACACAATATACAAATCAACACATACAGCAGATTGTTGGCTTTTTTAAAGAGGTAATCGGAAGGTCATCAGGCAACAAAGTCGAAAGTATTTACAACACAAAATGTGGAAACTTTTCTAAATGAAGCATCAGAACACATCTTTCTGGCCATGAAAGTGAGTACATATCTACATATTTAATGAATTTTTCACACTAATATTATAAATGCGAAAATTTCACAAATTTATTTTAAATACAATGTAAATCCTTATGTTTTCTTTTGTGATAGGGGGGGGGGCCTTGATTTTTGGAGTGAATGGCGCTTGTCGCGGAAATGAACTTCTTAACATAAAAGTCGAAGATATAGAAAAGAATTCAGATCAGTTATTGTTGATAAGCTTGCCAGATACCAAAACAAAGAGAGAACGGTCATTCGTAGTTTATAGAGAGCAAGTAAGAATTATCGAAAAGTATCAAGCTCTACGCCCTTCTAACATTAACACTAACAGATTTTTCGTATCTTATAATAATGGCAAATGTGCCAGACAAGTCATTGGCAAAAATAAAATTGGTGCTATTCCGCAGGAAATTGCTAAATACCTAAAATTGCCAAACGCAGAAAACACAGGCCACTGTTTTAGAAGGATATATATCAGCTATTTTTGGCAGATTCAGGAGCGGATATAGCCTAGATAAAACGACACAGGGGCTGGAAATCCGATACAGTAGCGCAGGGTTACATTGAAAATTCAATACACAATAAGAATAGAATAACTTGCCGTATTTAGTGATCCGCAAAATATTGAAAGTATCGATACTTACTCGATACCAAGTATCGTATTAAAAGTATCGATACCGATACCGGTATCTACTACTTTTACAAGTATCGTATCAAAAGTATAGATACTACTTGGTATCGAGTACTTTTTAACGTATTGAATGAAACATGACAAATGATTAGTTAAAAGTGGTTTATTACAAATGAACAGAAAAAACAACAGAAATAATTAAAACCCCCAGTCTGTTTCTGAACAGTCTGATAAAAATAACAATTTATCAAGCCTTGAACCAGTAAGACGATTGCGAGTTTCGCTTATTGTTGCGCCAGCTTTAGAAAACAGGCGCTCTGAAGGCACTGATGTGCCTGGCACAATAAGGTATTTTCATGACAATGCATAGAGCTTCGGGAATACTGACTTCATGTCTTCCCACTGCTGAAAATTGTCAGACTTTAAAGGGGAAACTGGGTTCGCAAGGTACAGCCCCACTTGATCCCTTTCTCCATCGTGTTGCTGTCTAATTCGTCTTCTGTGTGCTAATTTCCTATGTGGACTCCAAAAGTCAAATTTCTCCTCATTTTCTGACTCCGAAGACTGATTCGTAGGGCTTCTGTTATTGTCATCAGCATTGACCGTTCTCCGTATAAATGAAATAGTTCGAGCGCATGCATTTGCATCAGAAAAATGAATATTTTTGAACCTTGGATCTAGAATAGTTGCGACTGCTAAGTTACGGTTGTTTTCAATTGGGGCGAAACGGTTATTGATTTCCTTTAAAAATCGCTCTTTCAGTGGTTCTACGATTCTTTTCTCATCGTCGCCATGGCATTTAATGTTTTTTATCTGTTCGCGCAAACAGTTAACCGTTGGTATAATTATGCTCATGGTCGAGTACTTTTCTCCAGAAATATCTCTAGTCACATATTCAAATGGCTGTAAGACGAGCATAATTTTTTGGATGATGTTGTTTTCCATTGCGGTTAAAATATCTGGAGCATTTGAAACTTCCAGTAAGATCGCGTTCACAATGCTTCTCAGTTCTATATAACGTTCCAACATATAAAATGTTGAATTCCAGCGTGTCTTGACATCCAGCTTTAATTTTTTTTTCACCTTGTTGTTTCCTTCTCAGTAAATCGCTTTGATTGACACTATTCTTAAAAAAATCAGGTGTTTAATAAACATTTCATATCGAATACCTCCATCTGAATACAAAGCAACTCGTTGGAATGTCTCTGCAATGGTCAATTGGGATTTCTGGATGGATCTAGAAGATGAGGATTTTGACAAAACTTGCACACTGTCACTACTTGTTCTTTCTATTACTTCACACGTGTTTGTTTGTTTCGGAGTTGACTCCGTTGCATCATGAGATGCTGTTTCCTGTGCAGTGGCCTCATCCTGCGAAGTACTGGGGCTGGGGTTGTTCGTTAAACTTGGAGCTTTTTTCTTAGGCATAGCTTTTTCTTTCGAACTGAAATAAAAGAATGAACTGAATGAAAAAGACCAGTTATACGTAGTTACCCACTATTTTGTACTAAATTGTTCATTATTATAATACGCGTCCACATAGAATTTATAAAAATAATAAAATTAGGTATTTCTTTCTATCCATAGAGAGAACTTACCTTTGTGAGTGAGTAGTCAAATGTTTCTTCAAATTTGATGTATTACCACTCGATCATCAAAACATTGAAGCAAATTTTACACGATGCTGATGTTGCATCATTTTTCCTAAAGTGTTTCCATACATCACTGGTTCCTCCTGGAAGTGGCATTGTGAAAATGAAAAGTTTTAACTGGTTCTGGGTCACTTTATCTCATAAAAAACACCTGATTATCAAAGATGACGACAACGATCTGCTAATAAGCATGAACGAGAAAAAGAATCCAATAAAATAGTGTTGCTATGTTTTCTAAAAGAATTCTTACAAAATTTAATTTAGTATCTTATCTTATTCATAAATAAGTTTAAAAGTGATTAACCATTCATGATTTATTAAAGAATGTTTTGTAATTTTTATTAATTAAAATCTATATATATATTTAGAATAAAAGAACATAAAATAACCAGTCAAATTGTTCCTCAAAAAGTTGCAAAAATGTGCCAAACCTTATAAGATGTCAACCCAATACACAGTATGTTGACTAGTTGGGAATTTCCCGCAACTTCTTGCGAAAAACTAGTGATGTAATGTGAATAAGTGTTACGATTACGATTAATATAACCTGTTTTGACGTGACAACGTCTTAAATTAGGTTGCGGCTGGGAGTCACTTATGAAAAAGTGTAACGCTCGGTAACGTTACGATGAGTCTCTCGTGTTAAGTTTAAGTTTACATGTACAATGTTTTAGTAAACAAAATATATTTCTATAGTTAAAATTTGTGCAATTCTTATTTTCATTCAATTCCTTGTTCCTATTGTGCAATTTAATTATATTCATATCAATAAATATTCTACCGAGAAAAAGACGTTGTCACGTAAAATCTTCGCCCGTAAAACCGACTTTACAGGCAACCATTTTTTTGGTAAATCTTTATAAAATGGGAAATTGTTTTAAAAAGAACTTGCGAAAGTATCAAGTACTTTTGAAAGTATCGATACCTACTAAGTATCGAAAGAAAATATATCGAGTACTCAAATAGTTGGTATCGATACGAAAGTATCGATACTTTTTGCGGATCACTAAGCCGTATTAATGAGAACATTCATCAAAAAATATCGCCGAATATTATTGATCCTTGGACACCTTTGCTCCAACAGTCATCGACGGCAAATAACGTGGCAGAAAACTCGCTGCCTGAAGCGTCCCCAACATTCACATTCCAAAATGAGGATCAGTCACAAGTTCCTGAATCTTTAAGTAGTGCTCAAATAAACTCCACCACTACTTCCATAAATGTTCCTAATAAAAATATTACTCTGTCCCTTCATAACTGGACAAATGTGTCCAATATCAATATTAACTTTTAACAAAATAAATGTTTTATTTATGTAGCCTGGGTTTTATTGCCTCGCAGTAGGTACGAAAAGTAGAGTATGCACCTCTAGGATAAAGCCACAGGCAGCATATTGGACCCCTTGCTTTACTCACTCGTTACGCTCAGGGTCCAATATGCTGCCCGTGACGTAAGTCCCCTTGGTGCATAATCTACTATTTACTCTTTTTTTAATGTATTCTTTTCGTTTGGGTAAACCCATACTGTCTTGTTTCGATAGTTTTTGCAATCAAAAATAATCGATCCTTGTCTAAAAAAATACAAGGAAGTAGAAAAGGGAGAAACAAATAATAGAAAAAAATATTGACACATCGTCGATCACATTAGTCCCGTTTTTAATTACTAATACAGTGTTCGACGATTTCTTCTCTGACACATACGTCTAGCCGTTTGAAACTTTGCAATTACAGATAGTGTAGTAAGTATAGTTTGATGACTTTGCATTGGTTTAAAATTAGTTAAAATAAAACCAACCCTATACAACTTTGCCAAAAGAATATTTGAAATTTGAAAAAAGATTAATATCGTAAAAAATCTTAGGGGTTGGAAATCGCCAAAATTTATTGCAGCATGCACAAGCTGTTCGGAAACATTTGAAAACATTCTACCAACAGAATAAAAGTTAAATAAACTAAACAACGTTTTTGCAAGAAAGTCAAACCCGTCTTTTCAATAAAATATATATACTGATCACCCCTAAGTGAAAGGTGATCTTTTTCCCGTTGAAACTAAAAATAAACAGAGCGCAAGGTTAGGAAGTTTTCACTAAAAAAAACTTGACCAAGATATCAAAGGCTTTATTAATGAAATATAATTTATTAACTTTTTTAGTAAAAAAAACTGTACATTTGAAGAAACTTTTAGTAATAACCTAAATTCTTAAAAGAAAAAACAACTCCGACAAACATTAACAGCTCCGTAATAGCATCGCATCGTCAAATTTTCTATGAAAATAAAGCAGTACCGTAATAATGTTAAATTACTATATTTACATAATCCTTATCCTTCCTAATATGACCACCACTGTTTATAAAATATAAGTCAAGTAAGTTATTTCATTAATAAATATATGACACGTACTTACCTCTTAGGATGTTTTCTGTGAATACGATAAAAATAATTACATCCACTTGAACTCATAACAAACTAGTTATTAGTATTTTGAATATATTATAAAACGTCACTGCTATGTGTACGAAGTTATTAACTGGTTCTGTGTATGACCTGTTTCTGTATTGTCAGGTCGAATTTGAGATACGTATTGGATGGTATGTCTTAACAAATTTCCCGAAATAATCTTCAACTTTATGTCAAAGGCGTTAAATTTAAAATTCTTTTGAAGAAATCTGGTATTGTCGCATAACCTCATGCGCTGGCTGTTTAACCGGTACTAACAAAATGTACAATCAAGACTCGTTTTATTATTTTTCGTAAACAGTCCGTATTCTCACTTTAGAAATAAGCACCGTAACGTTTAGTTATATGGATATTAAAATACTGGTGGGTTTAATTTTATGCATTATGATTATGATGAAGAGTATTATCATTGACATTTTAGCACAAGTGCAGATTAGATAATGAAGAAGTACAGAGGCTGCAGACAGTCATATATCAACGCTTACTATATTTTTTATTCTTCAAACCGAGTAATTCTTGTATTATATTTATTTTGATTAATACCTTGGAAACGGCTTTTACGATTTGGATGTTTTTTTTTTCAGATAATGATTTAAAAGTATAAATATTTAATTTGCTTTAGTTGCAACTGATTGTTGATTAGGATTAGTAAAAGGGGTACGCTTAGAAGTTAAATTCCGGTAATCTGTAAAATGAACACAAAGTATATGCTGTTGGTCACACAGTTACAGCGTCACCGGGTTTAGGGACGGCGAGATCCTAAGGGGACCTCAAGCCGAGCATTGCCGAGTGCCTCTAGAGGTATTCCAGGCGGATGGCATCTCCTCACGGAGGGTGTCTCCTCTCCGTCTGGAGCCTCTAGATCACTCGAACCTGAGGGGGTCGGCTCAACTAGAGGGCGTCTCTGAGACTCAAACCTTGGCTCTAGTTAGCCGTTGTCGTGGGGGGTATCAGAAACAAATGGTGCTATAATACAACACAAGTCCGAGTGTTGTCTTAGTTGAAATAAATTACCACATCTGGCGTATTTTCTTCGTTATTCCAACACACACAACTCACATCACATCACCAGCCTATTAATGTCACCACTGCTGGGACACATACTCCTCCGTGCGCACGGAGAAGCTCGAATTAATAAGTTTTTGGTCACCCATCCAATGACCGACAATACAAGGATTTCATGTAAAATTTTTAAAAGCTTAGAAATTTGATGTGTTTTTCAATTTGCATTCAATTAAAGCATATCATAATACCTACCTGTTGATTAAGTTCAGTTGATTGGTGCCAAAATTCTTATACCTTTACAGGTGAGGATACATTCAGGTAGTTAGTGATGTAGGTACCCTTAGTAGCGCCCGCGTGCGTTACCATCATTGTTATATATTTTCTAGAGCCAACGGCTGGCATCCTAGATAATTATGAAACAAATAATAAAGTAAAAAAAAACGAGTATGCTTTTGACCACACGGCTGAAGTGAAACTTCTTTAGCTCCATCTGTATGTGTATATGTTACGCTCAAAGATCGAAAACGCTCAGTGAGCGGAAAAATAGCTCACAACGCGTTGTGTTCACAGTAAAACATCCACATCGCGAAATTCGTGTTATGGCTCTAATGAAAACGCGCACGACGCGTTGTGGCAATCACAGAAAGACCAAATAGCGAAATTCGTGTCGTGGCTGACATGCTATTCGATCTCAACGCGTTGTGGCAATGAAGAAAAGCCATGACGCGTATGGAATATTATTTGATTACGACGCTCACATACTTTCCGATATGGATCCTACTAGGCCTAGGCTGGAAACGTTTTGGTAGATTTCTTTAGAAAATATTTTTTATTTTATAAAATCACTGCTAAACGTTTTTGTCATTATTAAATATGTCATATAATTATATTACTTTATATTTATTCAGATTACTTTATATTTAAAAAAATCAACGTATTAAGTAATAAATTACTGAATACAAAATATTAATCATTTGTAAATTACTTATAATTCACTTAAAATAATTATGTTTTTTTTTTATGAAAATTTAAAATTCTTTCAAGTAATAAAAATATTTAACATAGACATAAATGTTTATTGATCACCAATAAATAACAACAATGTACTTAAATCAATTACTTATATTAGAAATTACTATAATTGTGGAAAATAAGTATTTGATTGCTATTACTGTGGCATACTGTGACAGGAATTATTACTGTGGCATTTTGAGTTGTATGTTATATTCTTGGAGCGACACTTGCACTTTTTATCAATACAGTATCTTTTGCAGTGGCTCATTATAAACCCTTGCTTACTTCCAGATGATAACATAGATGCTGAGCGAAGTGTTAATGACGAAGTTGAGGGCACATCACAAATGTTAATAATGTTGGTTTCAGAAAGTGTAAACTCCTTACGTGCATAAAGTCTATCGAATGTACTCGTACCTTCCTTATTTTCTAACTGGTAGAGACCTGATGGATTAATGCTCGTAACAACACACATAACATTCCTGGGTGCTGCACGTCCTCTATCAACTTACAACCTGTCCGTCGTGATATGGTTAAAACAATGAATGCTCAGAACGCGTCATGGCTTTTCTTCATTGCCACAACGCGTTGAGATCGAATAGCATGTCAGCCACGACACGAATTTCGCTTGGTCTTTCTGTGATTGCCACAACGCGTCGTGCGCGTTTTCATTAGAGCCATAACACTAATTTCGCGATGTGGATGTTTTACTCTGACCACAACGCGTTGTGAGCTATTTTTCCGCTCACTGAGCGTTTTCGATCTTTGAGCGTAACATATATATATATATGTGTGTTTACAATATATACATGTATGTACATATACATATTTCATTTACTAGCTATAATTGAAAGAGAGAAATAAAATGTGCGCGCGTACTGCTTTCTCTTGCTTATATCCCCCACTCAACTCCCGTTCGCCTCGCCCGAACACACTTTTCATAACGCGTAACGCATTCGGCAGCTTAGCCCCCAAGTCAAGCATGCGTAAAGAAGTTTCACTTCAATAAAAACCGACTTAAAAAAAACAAAACCACTAAAAATAAGAAAATAAACATTTTCCTTTAAACACTTTAAAGTCAAATTCATATTCGATGAGGGTGCCATGCCAACGCAAGCAGTGATGATGGTTTCACGGGCATCCCTAAGTCAGTATATAATACGAAGTAGATTGTAAAAATAGGAGCTATACATTGTAATTATGAGTTCCTCCTTGTGCTAAAGTCTTAAGAGACAGGAAAAATAAAACTCAGGATGTTATCGTAAAACTGATTAGACTGAGGTATTAGAAGGCGGCCCTGGCAAAGAACCGACACTGACTATAAGTTGACTACCGTTCAGTTCCTCGTCGCAAAAGATCCGAGAGTTCCGATTGTTTTTAGAAAATGTCTAATAAGTGAAAACATGCTCTAAGCAACATTTCAAATACATAATGTTACCACAGAACACAGATTACTAAACACAAATAAGTAAATTTTCTTACACATGCAAATTTTGTTAAAGTTTCTTTGTCTCAACAACTTTTGTAAAACCTTTGTTAGTAAAAACAACTTGTAAAATGATTAAATGGACTTTTACTAAAGATAATCAGACTCGTAAGGGGTCCGGGTTGTAATGGCAGTACGCTAGAATAAAAAACCACATATTTTTTTTTCGGACGAAAAATGTTTAATGTTGAAAAGAGTTTCAACAATCAAAATGATAAAGTGTATACACACTCTAGTGAAGGAGCGAGCAGACCCGAGAAGATGCGAGGAGAAGACGGCATGATGTGGCTTAAGTCCCCTAATTATTTCGATCGTCCATCGACATCCTCGTATACCTATCAAAACACAATCGTAACAAAAATTGTGAAACCTCTTTCACAAACAATGTGTAAAAATAGGCACTGGGTATTCCAGTAGGATTCTTTGCACGCTCATACTGTGAAAAGTACCCAAAAGTGGCATACGACCCGTCGAATCGACTTTATCAGACCTGAGGATTGGTACTCCTCCAGTCCAGTCTTGAATCCCTTGGCTTACTAAATATGGCAGTGCTTAGAGGTGAAAGTCAGCGCTAAACCCAATCGCAACTTGGAGACACTTAAAGTATCCCTGATAAAAGCTGTTGCCAATGTTAACATGAACGTCGTGCGAGCTTCGATTGATGTCTTGCAGATTGAAGGCTTGTATCGAAGTAGGTATCTAAGTAAAAGTTTTGAATAATTTTAATGTAGTTTTAAGGATCCATCCTTTTCTCCATACAACTCTGCCCAAGCTTATACCTCAGTATTATAAATAATGCAATTGTGTGTAGAAAAACAAGCCGAATTCATTAAACATATAAAAGGAATTTATTATCCATTTGTACCACAGAAAAACGTCGTTTAAACCACGTTTAAACTTGAAATTAATGGCAACACGGATAATATATTGTGGAAAATGTGAATATTTAAACTACTTAAAACAAGCTACGGGAATCATAAAAAAATAACCTGGTCGGCAAAAGCTTCTGTGGAGTCCGCCAGACATCGTAAAAATGTGATGAAAAGAGGCACGTGATTTTTGATACAACCAATCACAATCAAAGAAATGAATTTAATCCAATAGTATTAGCTGTCAGTCAATGACAAATTGCGTCTAGGTAATAGTTTCGTTTAAGCAGATTCCATTTTTCAAAATATTTTTTATTCTAAAGAAAAGTTTACTAGAAAAAAAATCCACGCGGACCAGGCAGCGGACGGGACTAGAAACCGCACCCTTCGCTATCCGGGCGAATGCACTTTTTTTTTTTTTTCTAGTAAACTTTTCTTTAGATTTAAACATCTGGCAGTTAAATGCTTAAAAATATATAAAAACATAACTATTTTTTATTCATTATTTCACCATTTTCTATTGAATTTATTGAGGCTTAGATGAATGAGTCTTTTTAAGTATAATTTTAGATGTTTTTGTGATAATTTGTACCAAGGTACAAAATAGGCTAGTTGACACTTTTTGGAAATATGTTTTAAATGGTTAATAATTGTTCAATTAGACCAAGTTAAAAAATGTATTGTATTTTTTATGACCTAGAAAGCTACAAAACTTTAATATTAAAATAGATTTTTCATGGACATACAAAAACGCTGTCGGCCATTTTAGTCTATAGATTATCTATGGTATGACGGGAACAAAATAGTAAACAAACATTCGCAAGCACGTAGGATCTGAATTTACATTATAAAACCATGATTTCTAATAGATTTCATGATAAATATAGTAATTATCATGATTGTATTATACGAGAATATAGAAACACGTCGTTAAAGACTCCAGAAATGTTGTTTTAAATTTTTAAGGTTATGAATGTACCTGCTAAGTCAAAGAGTTTTGTCGTTTCTGCTTTCACAAATCCGGATTTCCTGTTGTAAAGTTTACAAATAGCTAATACGAATAGCCACGTGAGGTGCCGATATAAGAGCTTATTATTGCCAAAA